ACAAGCAGAAATCACGCCAGTGTGCGGTACAGAATTAATACGCTTTATTAAGTTAATAGTGATTTTTTTACATAACGAGGAGGGGTGCTAAGGGAAATATTACTAGTTATATTAATACATGTCACAATCCATAAAACGACATACAATTATAAGACCAACTAGACTACACGCTCATCAAAATTACAATAATGCGTGAAGCATACACGTTATAAATACAAGCAGTAAATTAAGAACTACCATTAGATGTTGGTAATATAACCGGTTAGACCTCACGAACACGTCACACAGTAACAAGTTCAGACTGTCCTAATGTCCGGTAAGTTCAACCGTTCACTTGCTCAACACTTTTGCTTCACTCAAAATAATCCAATTCCACTTCACAGTCTTCCACTCAGACTGTCCTCCATGCTCCATGCGCTACGACGGCTCACCACTCACAGGTCATCTGGAAAAGGTACAAGTGCATTCCATATTACCTGCCGTTTCAAACACAACTAAAGTAACAATGTATGGATGTATTCAACCGGGCTACCGTTCACCGTACAGTTGCTATGTGCTGGCGTCTTGTCTATCTCCCTCACCAAAGGATGGAAACTCCAAGTCTCAGGAATATCCCCAAGCTGCAAGACCAATTTGGCAGACCTCTACTCTATATTCTTGGCTGACCAAATACAGTGAAGCTAACACTGACTCCCACCAACTCAAAGCCTGAACGCCTTGACAGTTGATAGTAAACTTACGAGTCACCACGAGTAGAATTGCAGGAGATGCTCACTCTTGGGCAACTGGTGGACAACTAACCACATCACACTGCAAAATTACCAATGAAGTTACTTTTACAGTACTATAACCTACATACACACATGACTAGCAAATAACAAATAACACCAAAATAGTGACAATTTGTCACAATGCGTAGCAATGGTAATAGCAGATTTTATTAACGCAGTAATATTTATCAGAACTGTTCCTGGGGAACTCGCCACTGGTCATTGATTTGCATAACTGACTGTAAATTAGTGTGTGAAGTAGTGAAATCCAATAAATTGGTGAGTGAAAAACGGCTAAGAATAGACATTAGTGGCATCAAGAATGTTTTCAGAGCACCCAGAATAAAAAGATTATGTAGCAGAAGAGAGGTAACGGACAAATGACAATTATTTTGTGTAGTGTTGCTCTTCATCACACTAGAGTTTTTTGGGGGATTTCTTATAAATTGTATTGTACCTAAACATTTTACGTTGAACATTTTATTATTCATCATAGACTCATATACATTGAAAATTTATATTGTTTTTATCTGGGAGACCTTTGACCACATGAGACATAAACAGTGTGACGGTTCTGTACGTTCCTGTATGTAGAAAGCTCCTGGTCATTATACAGTCTGCCATTTTGGCTGGGTTGTGTTTATAACAGTCTTAGACACTAAGTTTGTCTGAACAATTTGTCTACGGACTCATCTTATTGTATGTTAACTTATCATAGAAGTATATTTCTGCAATATGTTTGTAATTGTAAGAAATTAATGTGAGAGATTTATTTATATATTTAATTATTATCACGGTATAAAATAATAACAGCCCACGCTCAGAGGTGAGGTTTATATATAAACATTACAAATGTCTGAAAGTAGATTGTGCTATATTTCCCAGAGGGAATCACAGACCCAGTCGTCCCTAATTGCATATTTCAGATGAACATACCATAATGAATGTACAGGTATATTAATTGCAACAACAAACTGTGTGACGTCAGTCAGTCAGACACGACACGTACTTATTGGTGTATAACTAGTTGTTTATTGAACTACCGGAAAATAACATAGACGAGCCCTGAACCAAGTACATCGAATTCTTATATACCCTCATGGGGATTCTGAACTTGAGCGGAAAACTTTGATACAAATATACAATACCATGATTAGTCAATAAAGATATGTGGTTTGCCTTGCGGCGTTCAAGGTCTTGTCCGTTTTGTTACATTCAAGTACCAACCAAAGACATTAGAAAGAGATAAACAATGTATATAGTAGTATAATAAAACGATACAATATCAGTAATAATATTAAACAATAAACCTTTCCATATATATTCTCGACAGTGGTATTTAAAATTGTATGGCGTGTTTCCACAAGATTGTTACTCAAGATTTTGAAAACAAAGATGTTCTATGTTTTGGGTGATCCTGATATCTGTTGAGTTGGTCTACATACTACTATAGTTGACCCAAGCATTTAAAATTGAGGTCCGCAGTCAAACTGAAATGGAAACTTAGTGTATCAGTTGGACGATCCAACAGAGTTGACACATATTTTAAATACCGAACATTTCTACACTCTAAGTAGTTCGTCCTTGGTGTTCAGTTATTATTATTTTGATTCTTCTCTAACTAATCGAGTAATTGTATTCTATTTTGTTATATAGTTATATCATTTTAAACTGGTTAGGAACCCGCACAATATTTGATATTATTGGGGTTATTATTTGACCTGGCCCTGTTGCATTGTGACATTTGGATAGCTTAGATTGAACAGATTGTACGCTATTGTGACCTATATTGGACTACAAATATAATTATATGCATTTGAACTAGTTACACTTACACATATCTTGGTTGAAATTTTATTCACACTAGAGTGTATAATTAGTATATATATATATATATATATATATGTTAGTAGTGTTCGAATTTTTCTTGTGCTAATTATTGTTCTTAAATACAGGTTTAAAATGTTTAAAACGTCTGCAATCAAGTATTCTTCCAATTGTACAGCTGGCAATGACATGGACGTCTATATACATCGGTTTGCCATTGTGTCAGGCTTATTTTGGCAAACCTACAAAACTCTGTTGTTGCTTCTTGCACATATGCAATAGCAAGGGGGACCCTACCATGTTAAGGAACAAATTGGGTCAAATCTCTTGTGTAGAAAAGATGGTACATGATAAACTACACCATGCCAATTTATTGAAGAAGACAACAATGCAAACATAAATATATACTGATACCTTTTTTATGCAACTGGGCACACCAATATTTGTGGCTTTATTGAAATTCCACCTACCGACCGTGGCTTAGAGGGTCCAGAATATCTGGATTGTGACTTTATAGAATTAGTCCTCTTGCAGGGAAAATGAAACCATTAAGAACTTACATTTAGACCATGAAACTACAGATCGAAGAAGTACATTATTGGGAGTGTATAGTACCACACTTACAAACGTACCAGGCAAGTCAAACATTGGTTGCCGTGACATACAAATCCCCTTAATGGCAAACCGTAAAGTATTGCAACACAAGTAACTCGTATTGCAACACGTAAGCAATATGATGAAACTATGAAACATTGAGTGGTCTGATTCACTTTACTGCTCACCAATTATGGTTATTAGGAATCCTGATAGAAGTCAATTGTATAAGGATACCAGGAAGCTCAAAAGGATCATAAGCGTTAATGCGATGTTTGCACAATTGGTTGATGGTAATTCTCGATCTCAAAACAGGGTTCTTTCAAATAATTTTAGCAATGGGACGGTCGCCATACTTTAGTTGGATGGCGATTTCGCTCCCAAATATACCAGGGAAAGTGTTCTATTTTCTTCGGGTAATGAGGTGTTCGTATAAAAAGGAATTATCCACGCAAAAACTATGGATGATGTCGAATTTTATTAAAGGTTGCTTTAATGTTACCCCAACAAATCGTTTGGATGTGAAAATTGATTTTCTCCCCGATTCATAGAAAACTGTTTCTCAATTTGTCTTTTTAAATAGTTCCAATCGGTGTTCAAGATGGCTACCCCCGTATAGTAAATATCGATGGATGAATCGTATTATCACTTATACGCCAACTGACTGTGGCCATTCTCTGGCTGACCAGGGAAACTAATTTCACATTATCACGCCTCGCAAAGCAAATCATTGATGGGAATCCAGACATGTAACAGGCTACGTAAAAAACATTCTATGTCCCCTAATGCAATATAGACTCGCCCAGAGTGGACGCGACCACGAGTCGGCGCCAGCGAATTTCGAAAGCGAACTGTTTAGTCAAAACCCAAGCAATTAGCCAATTCGCTAGCGAGTTTGCAAATTGGCTGCGCCAATACTTTTGAGACTTGCTTTAAAAGTGTGAAACTTTTAGAAGGCATTGCGAAAAAGCTATTCAATGGAAACTTTTGTTCTATAATTCTAGTGAACATATGTTTTAAACAAGTCAACCTGCCATTCGATAAACCTATGCGTTCGGAAGTTAAATAGTTTTAAACACAATTCAACCAAAACGGACATTTTCAAATCATTTTCGATACCGTAATGCATCATACTGTTGGAAAGCTGTTAAAATAAGCTTTCATATGGTATATAATATGACAAAATTAACGTATTTGTTAGTAGTGTAATTGATTGTTTAAAATTCCTATAAATCATAGTGCGTTAATACCGAATTTGAATGAAATCATCCAAAGCATGCCTACAAAACGGTTGTATAAACGAGAAGCGATGTCGACTAGCCACTGGCAGATTCAGAAATTCGGTAAAGGGGCGCGCTCCGGTGGGCTGAGTTTATCAGTTGATTTGTCAATTTTTTGCGGGCTGACTGGGCGGACGGAATCAAAGTCTCTACGTCCTTGACAATGTGATTCAGACGGAAATGTAACCAATAGTATGTTTCTTCCCTACATTATTATTCTTATTGTTAATTCTTAGGTACTAGAATTAAGCAGCAAATTTCAAGATGCCGCAAATGTAGAACTAGGGAAAGTCATGTAATTATTTACACGAGCAGAATCTGTTTGACATGGTTTCCCGTGTGTTCGAGATTAAACCGCTATAATTGTTTGAGTTGAGTTTGAGTTGAGACACCTTAAACATATCCTATTGAGAGTGACGAGGAAGCCAAGGGACATATTTTTTCTTTCATCGCGTCCACTATTGCGAATACCGGCGTTATGGTAGTGTCACTGTCAAATATAAAAAGAAATTGACGCTAAGAATTAACATTTTTTCACGTGGAAAATTTAATTATTGTTTTCCATCATTAAGAGTAGCACATTAGATTGAAAATCTAATCAAAATTTAAAACTGCAGCTTTCAATTCGCCAGCATAACGCTCTCGATCCATGGTTCGACGGCATCTACTCTGCCGTATAGTCCAGGCAAAACCGGCACAGCACAAGAGTGTTCGTTTCTAACTCCGATAACTCCAGCTTGATACCACCGAGATCCATCATACCACACCAAAGGACCACCATCGTCATCCTGTGCACAGTGAAATTAGTGAAGCACAACTTTAATATTCACAAACTCACATACTGAATCTAACTTCAGTTATTATGCTTTAAGCATAATTATAATAATAATTGTATAATACACAACAGGATATGCTTACCACACACGCATCCCTTCCTTCGATAGCACCGGCGCACATCAGTGATTCAGTCACGTCACCGTTATACCTGCCCGGAGCATTACACCAGTTATCGTCATATATATTTACTGGTGCTTGCATTAGGACTACAGCGCCAACTTCATCAACTGCATTTGTAGAGTAGAAAAACAAATAAGCAACTTGGTTCACACGCTTTGCATACATATCATTACACCCATATAGAAGTCGTTTTTTTTTAAATATACCATAGCCCTTAGTCCTTATCTATAAATTTCTTCCTCATCATGTCATATCAAATAATTGTTCTTATTTGCTCAACGAAACCCCGAATAAATTGCATTCCAATGTTGGGTACTCACGTTGACTATGTGGACTTTATGAAGTAATAATTTATATTTATTAATCATGTATCGTTGATTAATGAGAAATATAATATATATGACATGTGCTTACTTGATGGAGAACTAGCAACTGTAGAGCCCCAACCAGTAACCCATGCCTCAGTGCCGTTAGGGTACTGTGTTCCCTCCGCGGGTAAACATATATCCTGTACCCAGTCATTAACATAAAGTATTGCTCCTCTAAGTCTCAACAAGGCAAAGTTGTATTCATCCTTAAACATTTCGAACTCAGGGTGAACAAATATCTCTTCAATATCCCAGGTTTGCTCATATGGGTCCGGTTGTGTATATATATGGTTGGCTGTAATAACATCGAACATCTCAGGATGATCCTGGTCTCTGTAATAATATATAAGTATTGTAAATTAGATGATTTTCCTAATATAAATGTTACCGATTCTTTCAACGTTTGATCGTCCAGCACATCATTGCTGATAAGCAGGCCTGATTGTGCAATAACCCTTGTACACATTGGCGGCCGAGATCTCGTTAAAAGTGAGATTAGCAACAAAACTAGTTTACCCTTGAATCGGTGTTTAATTGTTACCTGTCGCCCCTATTTGTCATGACTGTTTAGGTGACGTAAAGATTGGGAGAATATAGCATATAATAGCTATTTGGTATCAAAAACAAGCCTTTCGTCTTGTTAGGGCCAAATCAACATTTTGTGTATTTAATTGCTCTTATATTTTTTGTATTTACTGCATGCTATGCTATATATTATTTACTGTAAACTCAGATAAAACCGTGTGGCGAATAGCGCCACCCAGAGTTATTGGTGAAAGTTATTTAATAGTATCAAGGTCAGTTCTTATCTGAGATTAAAAACAGGTGGGTTGGCAGTGTGACTCAGCCAACTGTACGGTACGGATGTACGTCTTTGAGATCCATCAATATCTTGATATTGCAAACTGTTTCACTGGGAATTGATTGGCTAGGAAGGTCTACAAACACGGTGAGTGTTTAATGATTCACATGTGCTCTTTTGGCGGTTTAATTTTAGTGCCATTATGGTGCAAATATATCGTACACTGTTTACTGTGCCATTAGATTGATTTGAAGTGTAAATAACTTCACTATAGCCAGAACAA